CTCACCTTTCACAGGTTACTCGAAAGCAAGAAAAAGATCGATTGAGACTGCCGGCAATAACCCGAAAAGTGATGGAGAAAGTCATGAGCCACCGGTGGCTCAGAATGTCGTCAACGTGTTAATTCATTCAAGGTAGGCTTGTTGGAGTAACTAGTGTCGAGTTAGCTAGTAAGGGAATACTAGCTAGCTGGTACTCGTTCTCGCTGCGTATTCTTATATATGTTTTCCATTATGGCTGGTCATTACAAGGGGCAAGGGAGAAAAATAAAAAAATGTAAACCTATTATAGCTCCCTCTTTAATTGTTCTCTGAAGAGAAAATTGAAGAGGGAGTTATAATAGGTTTACATTTTCAGGGAGACTATCTCATAGCGACAACGAGGGACAACTATCTACTATGGCAAACTTTTACGGTCAAGCTTTCCGTGTAGAAGGAATTACAACCGTTTCACTCCCACGGCACTTCGAACGCTGGGTAATTCTAAGCGGTATTTCGTCGCTGAAGAGAGCGGGTCGTACTTGGCACGGGAATTTCCTTGATAATTGATTTTTTGGGTTTCACGCGCGCTATTCTCATTATTGGGAGACTGCCATTGAGAGGGGGGTGGTTGTATTTGGTCTTTTCGTGCGCGAGGGCTCTTCCCCTGCTGTCTTCTTTTGGCAGGTGTTATATACCCTCCCGTCACCGTGTGACGGCAGAAGACATCGAAAAAGCGCTAGGAATTCGCGAAAACTTAGAAAAGGTAGGCACGATAGAAGGAGGTTGAGTCGTATGTTGCAACAATTTTCTTCGGCGGCAGGACGTGGCTTATGCAAACTCTAGCTAGCTTACGTATAGGAAAATCACTTCACCTTAGCCATAGCCTCCTCCCCATGCTTCCACATAAGCATCGCCATGTTATGTCGTTTTGTTAACACTGCCCAGATGAGCAACTCCGAATAAGGATACTTGAAGGTGAAATCCAATGATTCGTCCTCATTGTTTGAGAATTCATCTGAAAATACCGACTAGGATTACGTTACTAAATATTACACCACAGTGAGCGGTATTACCGTCGTCATCCTCATTCTGGTGCCGCCCGCCGAAAATCGATATTATCGAATTACGAGCGGTATGAAGTAAGTCGATTCGTATAGAATGTTCAGCCTCCTTGTCTTCTTTGAGATTTTCTGAGCGCATCCGTTCATGATCTGCTTTCTGATAGCCCAGCTGAAAATCTTTTTGGAAACACATTAAAAGCGATTGTATGGGCGAATTCGGGAGTTCTAACTGCTGCACCGCTCCTCCGTCTCAGGAAAGGAGGGTGCACCAAGGTAAAAAGTACAATGTAGGTAGCACCGGTATGTGCGCCATCGATTGGTAGATCACCACCAGCCACAGACGTCGCCGGAGCACCCGCGCGTAAGCAAAAAACGCGGGAAATCTCGCGTTTCACTCCTTTGCAATCCTTCGAGATCCATTTCGACTTCTGCGGCACCGGCACAGCCGTCTCAAGATAGTAGTC